TCAGCAGGCATATAATTTGGATGACTTTCTGCCACCAAACTGCCAGGCGCATTGTCAAAGGACACACCCTAGCTATTTCGGAACACTCAGCTTGGCGCAATAATGGTCTCCCAAATTCCCTAAACAGATGCAGCAGGGCTTGCACCTGCATGAAAATCAGAATACATTTCTGGGTGCTGCCTTCTATTAAAAACAGAGCTCTGAGACTTATTTGTGAGACGTCATCGACTCCGAGTCAGTATTTTCTACTTTTAAACCCCTGCAACCCTAGTGAAGATAAGCACTTCATAGATTGATAGATCAATGTACTGTATACTGACAAGGTATTCATGCATGTTAGATTTACATGGACGGTATAATGAGATCTGATACAATAACTGTTTCAACAATGTTTAAACAGATAACAATGCTTACATTTGACTGACACTGCCCGAGAGCTCTGATTTACACAATTTATTATAAATAGCTCTCAATATTAGACAATGCACTTCTTGACCATTTATAACTACAACAGTCATGCCCACATTGTTAAATTAGTCCTGTTTTGTGTGTGCTTGTGTGTTTCTGATCAGTATGGGTATGAGATGTACTTTAAAGATGGTTGACAAATTAAAAGGAAATCTGTTTTAATCATAATGACAACGAAAATAGTATGAAACCCAGTACTGTTAGAGGTCACAGAAATGTGTTCAATTGTGGGTGGAAATCAGCACCTTAACTTTTCCAGGTATTCTTCTGCTGCCTCAGATTTTTCATTCAGATTCGGTTAACAAAAAACATTTGTGTCCATTAAATGAATATGAAAGAACCTTTTTTCATTTCTGCGTTTTTATTCCGTACAACTATAGGACTCCCGCTTTCGCCTTTGTTTTTAAGCTTTGATTTTCCTGAAAGGATTTTGATTTCATAAAGTTGCCCTGCGTTTAGCAGCTGTATTACCCTTTCTTTGCCAAGCACCTTACAATAATACATATGCACAATTTGACACCGTTTGCATGGATGGACATTTTAACATTCCAGTGGGAGGGGAAGATTACGCATGTATGAGTGGGGACATTTTGTGGCTTGTTTTAACGTAATAGTTTTCGAGTGCCATTAAACTGGCTGATCCAGAAATAACCCGTCATCGAGAGGTACTTTCATCGCTTTTCCTAGGCTTAGATGTGTTTTTACTCTTGAGCGAACGGTGTATGTGAAGAAACACGTTTCTTTTTTTAAAAGTTTTGGCTGTGAAGAAAAATTCTGCTCAGTGACAGTCTCTGAATCAAAACTTCACTGGCCGAGTTAAACAAATGAGCCCGTTTTATGTGCTGCCAGCATGCAGTCGAGTCTCTACTGTTATCCTGGGATTGAATTTGACACGTTTATTTCCTTATACGGCGCACCCGAGACAATCAAAACCAAACATTATCATTCAAAATATGAGCATAATCCTCCATGCTACGATGGAGGAAGTGTGGAAAGTTGTGACATCACAACACCAGAGTTTAATGCCTTGTATATAATATCTAGAGGTCCGGTCCAATTATTTCTGCAAAGGATGCGGCCAGGTCCACCTTCCTGATAGCTGATTCCAAGAGTTTAATGTCCTAGATGCACGCAATTATCCTTTTAATTAGTAATAATGGGTTAGTGAGTGCTGATATAATGAGCTGAATCACATGTTTGCAGACATATTGAAGCTCATCAGGATGGAAACAGCTCCGTCAGAAAATATCATCAAGGCACTTGTCAAAGCGTCTGAGTGTTCTGCGTTAGAAACGGTAGAAATTTAAAAGCAGAGAATTTTAAGCAAAACATGAAACAGATGAACATACAAGCACGTCTGTTGTGTAAGACGGCACTTATATCGCGGTGCTGTGCTGTACACTGTTTACCACCAATCTGGTACGTTAAATCAAACATTACCCTGAAGCCAAAATAAACTCAACGGGAGAGGTGTTTTATTCAGCCTTTAGAGGAGACTGAATTACACATGGCAAATGACGGCCTTATAAATATTTAAAACCCTGAAATGAGAAAATAAGCTTCAAAACATTTTCATTTTCGTCCAGGGTTAGCGAATCTGAATGCAAAGTATCCTGGAAATAGAATTTGTCTTGTTCAACTACCTTACGGTGTAAGTTTAAATGATTCATTGTTGGGAAGCACTTATGCACTGGCGCGTGTCCAGTGAAAATGCGATGTATATAGTTTCTTAGCTAGTAGTTTTCGTACATAAATGTTGTATTTCGGAACAAATACAAAACAGATTCTGTTTGCCTTGAGCACACAAATGGAAGGTTAGCCGAAGGTGGCTGCTCTGGCGTTTCATCTAAACCCGGCTGAAGGATGCAATGACGTGTCAGAAACATCGGATACCAGTTAAAGTGTGCAATGGGTAAGCTGATAAAAAGTGCAGCTAATTATGACCGAGCCGCTAATTTAGCCTGCAGGCTGTTTGGAATCAGATTGTGAACTGAATCGTCACTTGTCATTGTGAGGCCAAACTTGCATTAGACGTTTAATTGACTTCTACGAGTTTAGTAAACGGGTGGCAGATTTTTAGAACCACTTTGTTTAAAACAACTTAAATGAGAAGAGTAGGTTTGATCTCTGCTTTACTTTCGATTAGGCGCTGTTGTTTTGCATGAACCCGTCTTGTCTGCCATTCACATTTTCCTTGAAAGAAAGGGACAGAAGAACATTCACGGCATCAAGATATGGGGCATTTGGAAATGCGTCGAGAGCCCTCCAGGAGACGGCCGTTTCCCCGAAATACAAAAGACGGAGACATCATAAGCAGGCTGCGTCATTCCTTTGACTGACAAAAGCAGACTGAGACATCCCACCTGCGCATCCAAATTGTCCCGATGGAATAGGAAATAGTGCGGTCCCAGAACTTGTGGAGGAGCCGCATTCAAAATATGAAGGCTGCATTCGGTTCAAGACACATTAAGCCATAAATTAGCTTTGAATTGAAATTGATGTGAGTCCTTGCCTTTGGCTGTCAAAAATGTGGGACAGTAACAGAACTGTGAGTGTTTTGTTTGCTTTACATTTGTGTCTTCGCTTGCCTGTTAAATGAGACGTTTATGTTAATACCTTATTAAAATGCAAGGTAGGCAGTAAGTCGCGACTTGGCTCAAGCTTCATTGTTGTAGCTCAGAGAATGACAACATAGGGCCCATTTCTGCCTTAATGAAGTTGGCGACCCTCCGAAAGGTGACACTTTTATATGACCCAAAGGATTTATACACTCTTGCTCCCAGACTCTAGTTCAGTATGGGAGGGACAGATCAAACTCCACTTTCAGCATGTTGAATACACTAACTAGCCACAGAATCAGCTGTATCATACATACATGAAAACGCTGACTTTAAAGTGACAGTGTAATTTATTTCTTTATGATTATTGTATTGAAGTTGTAGTTTGTAATGTACCGTAGAACTGGACTGCATCAACTTCCAAACCGAAATATGAGAGCCACTTTGCTGTATGATGGCATAAAACTTTTAACCTCCTTATCAAGCTTCATTTTTTATTCTGATCAATACTTCATCTGTAATTATCAATCTGTAGGAATTATAACAGTTAATTGTTATTGTAATTAATTATCTGCTTCCCAGTTTTTAACGACAGGGGCCGGCTAGTTGCATGCTAGCAACAAAACACCTCAGTTGGGAACATCGCGATGATTTGCAGCCAGTTGTAATTCCAACATGTACCAGATATCTGTTGGATCCCAGTATATAAAGACTCAATGGTTTATGATGCTGGCGTGTCATTATGAATCCAAACGAAATAGTCTCTGAGAAGAGGAAAAAAAAAAAAGCTTCCGAAGCTGGACCCGCCCTACTGCAATATGAAACAATGTATAAAAATGAAGGCTATGTCACGCCGTCATAACCATGGACATTGCCATCTTGGGTTAGTGCTCATCAGAGGAAAATGCTCGAAATGGTTCAACTGACCTGTTTTGACAGTTTTCACAAATAAAACTTTACACCACTAATGTATTATCTTTTATCTCATGCCATAAAACCATAAATGTCACGACAAATCACAAATCTCTTCGCAGAGCATCTGTGCAACTTTTTGTGCAAAGAGCAAGAAGTCATCCGAGGGTGAAAAAAAACAAAAAACGGACTTATTATTGACAGCAGTCTTACTTATGCAAATATACAAAATCATTTCTGCGTGACAACTTGAAGCAGAGGCCTGGAGGAGTGACACGTGATGTTCAAACGTGGACTCCACTGTCCCTCGAATGGCCGAGGAAACAGAACACCGCCGGGCTGTGCGTTGCCTTGATGCACACTGTTTTACATTCTAATTATCTGGCCTGACAGGCTTTATTGCTGAGGCTCAATGCTGAAGCCTCACACCAGACTCATTCCACATGTGATGCCAGCCTAGGGATAATGAGATAAGATTGCTTTGGAGCTTATGGCCTTGCTGATATGTCTCCTCGTTCAGTCTTTTCTTTTCCTGTTTGTCTTTGTCTTGTCCATACATGCAGCCCGGCCATTGTAATTAAGTGTTGACTTTCTTCATTGTAATATTTCCATTTGATCGGATTTACATGAGCTTCTGAAAAAATGAGAAGTGTGTTTTGAGGCGTGTCACACTGACAGTGACTAAAATAAACATTGTTTGTGTGAGTGTTCATTAAATATTTAATACAGAAAAGCCAATCTGTGATAGAAACAGCAAGCCTTTTTTTTCCAGTCTAATTAAGCTACAGGGAATTTGTTGCATATTGTAGGTAAACAGACTGTCTTGGGAATACCAATGGAAATTAAATGCTCCACTAATGCTTTCCTCATTATAAGATGAAAAGAAATATTTATCACTAACTTTCAATTTGTCAAAAGGCTGACACTTAGCGGGTCAAACTCAGATAAGACAATGGCTTTGTTCCATTTGCGTTTGAATTCATGACATCAGTTAATCACCGCATTCCAATGTGTTTTTTGAAGTGCTCTCAACTGTTGGTTTTATGTTGTGTTTATCTCCAGCCGTTGAGGTGAACCTCCAGAAAGCTTTGGCTGAGGCGTCCGAGACCTGTACCCAAGAGTGTCTGATACTGGGCCACTCCGACACCTGCTGGATGCCACCAACCCTGACCCAGTTCCAGAGTCCGACGAGCGGAAGCCCCGCCTCCACTCCGACCTCCACTGCCATCTCCGGTACTCTCCCCTCTTTTGGCTTACAGCAAAGCTGTGCACGGGGGGTCAAGGTTAACATGGGCAGCCTGAGTACCATGGATGGCCGGCACACGTTGGGAAGGTCTGTGCCTAAAAAAGACGAGCTGGACAAAGGGCTTAACAGGCCGCAATTCTACAACACCTTGGACAGACACTGCAATAAGAAGGAGGACACCGTCAAGGTCATCCCCCTGGCGAGCTTCTCATCTCCTGGAAAGCAGACAGCGGCCGGCGGTGGCAGTAGCTCCTTTCTACATGAGCACCAGCTGTAACAACATTGGCCTGACATCCTGTACATGTGACTCCATCCAGCTTTTTTCAATACTTCATTATTAGCATTAATGCATATGTGTGCAAGTATGGATCATTTGAGTAAATACAGCCAGCTCGGTTTTACAAACATCTAACAAATGGATTTCATTGTGCTTATGAGATTTTAACAACAGTTGTATCATACTACTAATTGTTGGGTCAGTCCGAGGGCTCAAACTTTTTAAATTAATTGTTCATCATCTATTGTCACTGACGCATGAATAGCTTATAGTGGCCCTGAGAAGTGTGAAGACCTCCACCGAACTCGAACACAGTCCTTATATGGCTCAGCAGCAAACCTTCAAAGATACCTAACTGGTGTTTACGGCAAGATTTTGAATATTAAGAAGATTTTATTTCACAATGATAACAAAAGTGGTGGACTCACACCTCTGTTTGAATGAACTCAACATTCAATAGGATATTTCTTGGCGCACGCCCCGCCATAATGTTTGGTGGCAGCAGAGTGAGCAGTTTTTGGAAAATCCTGTAAACCAACAAAGAAACAACAGTGCACATCAAGTCATCTTGGACAATAAACACAGCACTTCAGTAGTTTCATCATGGGGGGAAAAAAAAATCAGTATTTTAATATTCGATATGTGCGTAGTAATAGAGTGGGACAGTGTACTATATGTCTCCTTGTGCCCAGCTTAGAGCAACTGTGTCCTAAAAGACCATTTACTCATGCAGAAACAAATGCAAATACAGTGTGTTGAGTAAGCTAATTTGGGCTAAATGCTAATTAGGGGCCCAGGGTGGTGTTTCTATTTGAGATCTAGCGAAATATTGCTCTGTATAATGTGCAGCACAAACTCCTTTGGTGGTGGAAGATGTTTCGTTTGTCTTGCCTGAACATGTTTCAGAAGTCTATTTTGGTCAGCGGGGACTGTGGAAAGATTTAGGAAAAAAAAAACATATTTGAGAAGCATAACTAGGCCAACGGTAGACAGCTCTGGTAATCTTTCTTGCATCCTTTACACCAAGGACCGGTAAAACCAAAAACACCAACACAAACATGCCCAAGATGTTTCCCATATGCTGTATGCTGCCAGCTCCATTAAGAAAGGGCTCACTATTAAAAGTCGTCTCGTTATCTTGCCTTGAAAAGTGCAGACGGATGCGCTTTTGGAAAGGCTCAAGTCCCCCTTCCTCCCCCACCCTCGCTTCCTTTTGTAGTTCTGTATGTTGCTGCTCAGAATCAGCCACATAATACCAAATCATTGAGCCACTTATGAAATTCTTCGTCTAATTACTTTGATGTGCGATGTTGCTAGCTACCCTAATTGTGGTTAAGAGGTCTACAGAATTACTCTCTGGGATAACAGGGGATGTTCTCGGTACTTGCACTGGCAATGACAAGCTGGTAAGACCTCAAAACTGTCATCTTAATGTGCTGATAATTTTCCAGTATCATTAACTCCCACCAGCTTGCTACTAATTACTATATATTTTTTTCTCTATAGCTGTGTTTCAATACATGTGATTGGCAACATTGGGTAATGCTGGACTAATACTCCACAATGCTAAACTTTAAATTGCATTTTTATTTATTGGGTGTGTTTTTTTTTTTTTTTTTGCAGCCATGTGTAACATGATATTAGCCTTGACCTAAAAGAGAAAAACAAATGCGGGCCTCTCAGTGACGGTTGAGACAATGCAAAACACTCCAAATCATCTGTGTAAATTGTACTGATGATGATAAGTGTTCCAACATAGCTTTGTGCTGGAACAGATTGGGTGCAGTATAATCTATTGCACCAACATTAAGTGTCTCTGCTTCCCACTAACACCCAAGCCAGGTGTCTAAATCACCAAGTATATGATTCATGTGATTCATTTCCCTGTACCATCTTGCAAATTGAGAGCAGCCTTGCATCTATAATGTATCGAGGCATTCTTTGGAGAGAGTGCAAAGAAAGCTGTTTGAATGCAGGCCGCCTCTGCCCCTCTCCTTTAAGATCATCATCGGTCAAAGATTTGATTCTTGTAAATAGGCTTTATCTGACATTCAGGCAAATGATCACCTAACATGACCCGTGTCATGGACAGGGAAATGAGTCCTTCCGGGGAAATGACTTGTTCAATTATACCTGAGGTAATTCTGAAAATGAATGCATTTCAAAAATTGTGAATCAATCTTTCTCGAAACCACAATTGATGAGCTCCCTGTTTCTAGCTTGCCAGATTTTCTTTCCTCCAATCACTTTTCATCTCATTTCTTTGCAATTGGAAACCCAAATATCCGCAAATAGCATAAACATATTCAGTCAAAAGGAGCACATATCATTGGGAACATCAAACTGATTGAGTGAAATTGCTCGGAAAAGAGCCAATTTAATCTATGTTTACAGATTGTCAGCATTCAAAGGCGAGACATTAGACAAAAATAATGGCTTTTATAACAGTTTGGGGGGAATGAGAAGGGCATGCATTATTGTTGTTGTACTCTTTGCAAGATGTCAACGGTAATTGTGCCCTCCCTCTTATCACACAGGGAGAGAATATTCATGGAATGAAACACTGTCACAATGTCATAAGAAATGTTCCTGATGGAAATAATTTATCCAATAACGTTTGTACAATATGCACAACGTATGCGTGGAATATAATATCTGTTATCTTCACTGTGTTATCTTGACTACATAATGTGCTGTCAAGTTGTAACAGCTGCATTACTGATTTAATGCATGGTTAGGGTGTCAGTTTGGATTCTAAAATGACAATTTTGGGGGCCGTTGTACATCTGACCTCTTTTTTTTTTCTCTCTTTCAACAAAAAGCAAATCTAGAGTAAAAACTGTTTTTTTAGATTTCACATCACCCCAATTACACATTCGAAATGGTCAGCAATCGCAGACCTTTGACCAAATGACTCAGCTGTCAGTGTATTTTCCTTTTTTTTTCCCAAATTCATTGCTCGAAAAACTTCAAAATTGCTACAAATGGACAACAGAAAAGATAATCATGCATTTCTTAAGTTTTCAGACAAATGTGCTTCACGCTCAACCTGTGGCATCATTTGCATGAACTGTTTAAACTCCCACAAGGCGTTTTAGCTCTTGACTGTATCGTTGATGCATTCATCATTAGATTCAGTGTTAGTATTAATGTTATCTGCCCTACCTGTTTGTCTTATGAAACTAAATCAATGTGAAATGGAGAACACACAAATCAAATGTCATAATTTTTGTATACAACTTGGGCCTCCAAGTTTACACAAATGTTTACAATGTCCTTCAAGGTAACACTGTAAACATCCTGTACATAGCACCCCAAGAACAATATCACAAATGGACACACAACAGTAACTACAAAAGTGAGAGGCAAGTCACTGCAACGTGGAAACAGGAAAATGGGGTAAAAGGAAAATACATAAAAAGATGAGATGACAAGTTCTGCTGCAATGTAAATGGGTCCGCATAAAAATATTGTGTGTGTGTGTGTGTGTGTGTGTGTGTGTGTGTGTGTGTGTGTGTGTGTGTGTATTCCTATGGGCAAATCGGCATATATCTTTTGCCGCAATATTGTATGTACATCATATATGTATCTTGTATAAAGTCTATATCTGAATATATATGCTTGTAAATTAGTTAGCAGTGAAGTCATGTTTGCTTTGAGAGGGCTTCAGTGCTTGCCAGCAAATCTGTATTGGTCATTTAAATCTATACAGTCTGTGTTGTTATGCCTTTGTAAGATATACCATTTAATATTATAAAAATGACTTCCATACAGTGAAATGTTTTTGATTTTGGTCTTTGAATTTTAACTGCGCCATTAAATATTGAGTCTCTCAAGTGTACAGAGATTATGCTTGTCATTTTTTCCTAATCAGTGGAATCGACCACGTTCAAGAGGCTGATCATGCACCTTGCTTGGATTTTGAATGAATGTTACCAATATTGATTAATGGGAATACTGTACAATGAATCTGTTCCCAGAGTCAAGCTTTGGCCATCATTTAAGTACTATACAGGTACGCACTGTTGTTTGTCAAGCTGGTGCGATAAATTGCCGTTCATGTCTTGAACAATGTCAATACAATGAAATTTGGGATGTTTGATCCAACTTTTTTTTCTGTGCATGTCAGTAAATTGAGAGGATAAACTAGGTTCAAAATTATAAGGCTAGTGGACCGACCCCCCCAAAACAGAAGGAAGATGATTTAATGATTTAATTAAATGAAATGATCTAATTCAGTGCGTAGACCCCTCGGTAATGGGCTGCGGCTGTATCCAGAAGTGTTTGATGTCACAGGAAAACGATTTATCTGCTGTCATGATGAAGTCTGAGGTCCAGCGAGATATTAAATGTTCCTTGTTCTGTTTTTGCATACATATTAGTATAGAACTCAACTGCTGACTCTCCTATGCCCTCTGCTTCTCATTATTGACTCCATGGTCCTGTAGTCAATTGTTTAAGTTTCTGTATTCCCAAATACTGCATCATCTTCATGTCCACGTCCAGAATAGAAATGGCCTTACGTGTGGCCCTGATCCTCCCAAAGTTTTGATCGTGTTGAAGATTACTACTGGGGCAGCACTGAACCAAGTTTTCCACCAGCTCTCTGTGCTCCATCTCGTGTCAATCCATAATATATATCCCACACCACTGTAGCATCACGAGAGACCTTACTCAAACAGCATGATCCAGTGTCCCTGAAGTCAGAAGTATACACAGAGAACAAAAAGAGAGAAGAGACAATCCCCCAATGGTACACTGATATTTCTGACCCCAAAATCTCTCCGAATGCACATGCTGTGATTTGCATTAATCCCCCAAATCACATGAAAGGTTGGATGAAAGTTGAACATCACTTCAATCAACCACTAAAGTTTCATTCCAGTTTAGTTGACAGCAAGCACGAGCACAGAGAGCACTAGAGCCCACTATTGGGTAGCTTACATGAATTAAAATTGTCCGTACAAGAACAGAAAGTGAGGCTGACTGCACCCCTTTTTCTGCAAGTGCATCCATCCATGTGATAGTTAACAGCAACCTCTGTAGCAGCCTCCCCAATGCCTCACAGATATGCATAGGTTGTTAACTCAAACGAGCTCTTTGCAAGTGAACTTCAAGCTTTACACAAGCAAGCCCCATTCCGACTCCTAACAAGAGTCAAGTCATCTCCTCCGTAACAGGCCAAAGCCTTTACTGGGCTGTCAACTTGCCATATTACGAGCATATGTTCAGTCCCCGAACTCCGAGGGAGACCCGTCTGTGACCTGTTCCATTAGTTCTCCACAGTAATTGGCTAATAATGTGACAGGGCCAGTGCCAAGTGTGTCGACGCTGTCAAAACACATGCATACCCAACAAGAGTAATCTGCATTTACGGCAAAACTGCATATTTGGACAGAAAGGACTGTGTGGGTAGCAGCTTACTCACAGATTGTTTCTGATCCCCATACAACCACCCGCCCCGCCATTCCCATCTGCTAACAAGCAAACTTATTGTAAGACCACTTTGTTCTCAAGGTGTCATCTGTTAAGGTATCAGGAGAACATATAGAGCTTGTCAAATATTACGCTAATTTCCAATTGTAATTAAACTGGCCATCAGGTACCTTGAGGCTGTTTAGTCAACAGCAGGGTACTAATTACGAAACTGACCTTTAGAATAATATCCGGTGAATTATTCATCATTGAGAAAATTGCTTCAGAGACATTCCAACAACATCCAAGGGATGGCTGGGTGGTCGCACCTGCTCAACTTCCCGATGAAATGCATAATCCTGTCAAATAAAAGGAGGTCATCAGATGGGTGAAACTCTAGCAACCAACATCAAGATGATTTCAGAACCAAAATCATGAACAAAGAGTTGTGGTCACTTTCTTAGAAGACTTGGTGATTGATGTGATCAAGTGCTTGGTGCCTGCTCTATTGCCTTAAAGATCTGAGTTGTCCAAAGGGTTTGATACAGGCGTTAGTCAAACAGGCTCTGCATGTACTGTACTGGGAGACATTGGGCAACTCTCACAAATACAAGTGAAGAATTTCATGATGTTTGAAAGGCATATCAGATACTCCACTCTTCAATCCAAAATGTACGGAAGGGTGGAACTGCCAATGTGAAGTAGAACATTTTTGACTGGTCAATACATTTGAACATACTTACAGGCTAAATGCAACAAACTTTTTTATATTGTATTATGTCCGCAGTGCACAATTTCTGGTATTTAAATATGTTCCTATCATACTTGCAAATCCATCCATCCGTCCATCTATTTTCCCGGGAGTTCGGGGGGGGGGGGGGGGGGGGTCACGGGTGTGCTGGAGCCTATCTCAGCTGTCTTCGGGCAGTAGGCAGGGCACAACCTGAACTGGTTGCCAGCCAATCGCAGGGCAGACAGAGAAACACCCATTCACACTCACAATCACACCTAGGGACAATTTAGAGTGTTCAATCAGCCTGCCGTGCATGTGGGAATGTGGGAGAAAACCGTAGTACCCGGAGAAAACCCACGCAGGCACGGGGAGAACATGCAAACTCCACAACGCCGGTGGTGGAATCGAACCGGTACCTCTGCACTGTGAGGTCGACGCGCTAACCACTGGACCACCAAGCCTTGCAAATACATTCAAACAGAAGTACAACTTTGTTCGAAAATATTTGCCCGTCAAAAAATTGTACTCCATATTGGCAGTTCCACGCTTCCGTAAAAGTGAGTAAAACCAAAGAATTGAGGTTTAGTTTTGTCACTAACAAACTTGTCGTAAAGGGTCAAGTCAAAATTGTGACACAATAATATGTTCTGTGCGGCCCCACTATCCTAAAGATGGTATTCTGATTAATATTGTGATTGTGGAATATGAATTAAGCAGAAAAATCCACCTTGTCTTATCTATTTCAGGGGCCCGACAGTGGCCAGGGCTCAGCTTGCAAGCATCACATAAACTAACCCGGAAAACAGATGAACCATCATTGGTCATTACCTTAGCAATTAGGCACTGAGATGTCATTTTCTGTCAATAGCAAGTGCCAAAATGGACACCCCTTGAGATGGACTAAAAATGGGTAGATTTTGCTGCTTAATTTATAGGTTAGTGGGGGCATATAGAAGATATTATTGGGAAGAGCATTTTTGACTTGGCTTGCCCTTGCCCTATGCCAGGATGCAAAAACATATGTGACCAACCAACCATCAGACCAAACATTATTATAAGTAGAAGTAGTCGTACCGATTGTGATTAGTTATTTTATTGTTTTACTAAAACCTGACCTCTTAGAACATCATCCTGAATTGCTTGAGTTTTAAAATGGCAAACCAATCAGACCAAAAAGCTGGCTCTTCCCAACAAACACTTTTTGAAACTCAGTATAACTATTCATTTTCTGGCATCAGTGGGTTACTGGGACAATTTTGCATCAATCCAGTGATTGCTCCTGGAGAGTCAAACCTTGGAGGTTTGATTTTCATCAGAGCGAACCCAAATTATCACATCATATTTTAGGATAATTATCAATCTTGAGCATTGACCTTGTTTTTAGAGACATGAGAGAACCAAAGCCATGATAGCAAATAACATTAAAGTCTACTTCTTAATTTGGACTGTTTTTCTCCCCCAGTAATTTGTTCCTGTCATTCTGGCACTAAATGTGATTGTACAATTTAAGTGCATTATGAAAAACGTTTCAGGAAATTTCCCTTTGAAGCAATCGTTCTCAAATAGGAGGGATGGGTAGGTTCAGGGGGGTGCGATGCAATGCCATGGTGGGTGTGTGACCTGGGAACAAGTTTTTTTCTTTTTTCT